AACTTCTTCAACAACGGCTGCGAGCCTGCCAGGGGCATAATCCTTGTCAAATAATGCCATGCGGAACACATTCGTTTTTTCTTCGCGCGCGCGCGCCGAAATCTTCAAAAACCATAAGGTTTTTTGAGCATTTCAGCACTGCGTATCATAAAAACACACAAATCGCACCGTAGGCCCTCGAAAAAAACCTGCACGGATTTTCAAAATTTTGCCCGCTCGCGCTGTCCGAACCTCAAAAAACCAATGTTTTTTTCAACATTTCGGTCGCACGAGCTCGTGCGAGCTACTTTCGCGCGCTCCTTCAACGACGTTCGCGCGCCTGCCACGGCCACTGTCCGTTTCAAATAATACCATGCGGGACACATGCGCGCGCGCCGTCGTCGTCGTCGTCGTCGTCGTCGTCGTCGTCGTCGTCGTCGTCGTCGTCGTCGTCGTCGTCGTCGTCGTCGTCGTCGTCGTCGTTGTCGTCGTCGTCGTCGTCGTTCGTCGTCGTCGTCGTCGTCGTCGTCGTCGTCGTCGTCGTCGTCGTCGTCGTCGTCGTCGTCGTCGTCGTCGTCGTCGTCGTCGTCGTCGTCGTCGTCGTCGTCGTCGCGGCGGCAGGGCGGGGAAAGGGGGGGCCCGAGGCTCGCGAGAATCGTGGTTGCGTTGGCCCGGCGCCCGCCCGCAGCTGGCCCGGCGCCCGCCCGCGTGGTCTCCTGCTGGATCGAAGGGCTTGCTAGTCGTCGTCGTCGTCGTCGTCGTCGTCGTCGTCGTCGTCATCGTCGTCGTCGTTGACGTCGTCGTCGTCGTCGGTGTCGTCGTTATCGTCGTCGTCGTCGTCGTGGTCGTCGTCGTCGTCGTCGTCATTGTCATCGTCGTCGTCGTTGGCGTCGGTGTCGTCGTCGTCGTCGTCGGTGTCGTCGTCGTCGTTGTCGGCGTCGTCGAAGTCTTTGGAGACGTCGTCGGTGTCGTCGTAGTCGTTGTCGGCGGCGTCGTCATCGTCGTTGTCGCTGTCGTCGTCGGCGTCGCTGTTGTTGCCAAGTGCCATGTGGTACCCGCCGTCGCGGTCTTGCGAGATTTAGCAAACCAAGTTGCGGGTGGGTGGGTGGGATGTTAGCGCGAGCAGTGGAGTGGACAGCTTCAAGACGGTCAAAGTGAAGCTTCCTCCTTAGACCCCCCCCCCGCTTGAGCTCGACCTCCCCTCCCGTCCTCGCTCGAGCTCCCCCCCCCTCGATTCTTGGACCCCCCTCCAACTGCCCTTCCCGGTTCCTTGGACCCCCCCCCCGCTTGAGCTCGGCCCCCTCCCCCGCCCCCGCTCGAGCTTCCTCCCTGGGCCCCCCCCCTCGCTTGAGCTCGACCCCCCCCCCCCCCCGTCCTCGCTCGAGCTCCCCCCCCCTCGATTCTTGGATCCCCCCCCCCTCCGCTGCTCTCCCCGGTTCCTTGGCCCCCCCCTCCCCGCTTGAGCTCGCCCCCCCACTCCGTCGCCGCTCGAGCTTCCTCCTTGGACCCCCCCCCCGCTTGAGCTTGACCCCCCCCCCGTTCTTGCTCGAGCCCCCCCCCTCCCCCCTCCTCGATTGTTGGACCCCCCCCTCGCGCTGTGGCGTTCAGTGGGGTTGCGTGGATAATTCGCCGGATCCCGACGCCCCCCCCGTCGCCGCTCGAGCTTCCTCCTTGCCCCCCCCCCCCCCCCGCTTGAGCTCCTCGCGACCTCGCCGTTGGCGCGGCGCAGCGTGCTGACGGCAGTGTGGTTGGCAGAGCATTTCGGTAACTGATTTCTATGTCTGCCAGCCGCAGCGAATTCATCCAGACGCCTCGTGGCCATCGGGTAGGAAAAAATTTCCCTGGCGACGCACCCAACCCCTGCGCAAACGCGGGGCGCAAATCGTTTAGGGCACTTTATAAGGGGGGCGATGGCGGAGCGAGGGTTACATATGCCTGCAGACGGAATTCGGGAGACTCGCAGGACACTGGCTACAGGACAAGGACTAGATAAAGCTGATTAGTTACAATCCCTGAGCAACCCTAGCCACTTCGAAAGCGGGGATCTCATATCGCAGCCCCCCAGGGATGGCGAGGTCTAATTTGGGTTCGCGCGTGGCGTCGCTGTGCCGGGCCCCCCAGCAGGCCTCGAACGTGGAGACAGTTTCGCAGATCGCAGCCCCCCAGGGATGGCGAGGTTTGATTTGGGTCCGCCCGTGGCGTCGCTGTGCTGGGCCCCCCAGCAGGCCTCGAAAGTGGCGACAGTTTCAGAGATCGCAGCCCCCCAGGGACGGCGAGGTTTAATTTGAATCCGCGCGTCGCCCTCACTGTGCTGGGCCCCCCGGCAGGCTTCGAAAGTGGCGACAGTTTCACAGATCGCAGCCCCCCAGGGATGGCGAGGTTTAATTTGGGTCCGCGCGTGGCGTCACTGTGCTGGGCCCCCCAGCAGGCCTCGAAAGTGGCGACAGTTTCACAGATCGCAGCCCCCCAGGGATGGCGGCGTGGCGTCTCTGTGCTGGGCTCCCCAGCAGGCTTCGAAAGGGGCGACAGATTCACCGATCGCAGCCCCCCAGGGATGGCGAGGTTTAATTTGGGTCCGCGCGTGGCGTCACTGTGCTGGGCCCCCCAGCAGGCTTCGAAAGTGGCGACAGTTTTACAGATCGCAGCCCCCCCAGGGATGGCGAGGTCTAATTTGAATCAGCCCGTGGCGTCACTGTGCTTGGCGCCACAGCAGGCCTCGAAAGTGGCGACAGTTTCACAGATCGCAGCCCCCCAGGGATGGCGAGGTCTAATTTGGGTCCGCGCGTGGCGTCACTGTGCTGGGCCCCCCAGCAGGCCTCGAAAGTGGCGACAGTTTCACAGATCGCAGCCCCCCAGGGATGGCGAGGTTTAATTTGAATCCGCGCGTCGCCCTCACTGTGCTGGGCCCCCTGGCAGGCCTCGAAAATGGCGACAGCTTCACAGATCGCAGCCCCCCAGGGATGGCGAGGTCTAATTTAGGTCCGCGCGTGGCGTCATTGTGCTGGGCCCGCCAGCAGGCTTCGAAAGTGGCGACAGTTTCACAGATCGCAGCCCCCCAGGGATGGCGAAGTCTAATTTGAACCCGCCCGTGGCGTCACTGTGCTGGCCCCCCCAGCAGGCTTCGAAAGTGGCGACAGTTTCGCAGTTCGCAGCCCCCCAGGGATGGCGAGGTCTAACTTGGGTCCGCGCGTGGCCTTCACCGTGCAGGGCCCCCCAGCAGGCTTCGAAAGTGGCGACAGTTTCACATATCGCAGCCCCCCAGAGATGGCGAGGTCAAATTTGAATCCGCGCGTGGCCCTCACTGTGCTGGGCACCCCAGCAGGCCTCAAACATTGCGACAGTTTCATAGATCGCAGCCCCCCAGGGATGGCGAGGTTTCATTTGAATCCGCGCGTCCCCCTCACTGTGCTGGGCTCCCCAGCAGGCCTCGACAGTGGCGACAGTTTTACAGATCGCAGCCCCCCAGGGATGGCGAGGTCTAATTTGAATCCGCCCGTGGCGTCACTGTGCTGGGCCCCCCAGCAGGCTTCGAAAGTGGCGACAGTTTCACAGATCGCAGCCCCCCCAGGGATGGCGAGGTTTAATTTGGGTCCGCGTGTGGCCCTCGCTGTGCAGGGCCCCCCAGCAGGCCTCGAAAGTGGCGACAGTTTCACAGATCGCAGCCCCCCAGGGATGGCGAGGTCTAATTTGAATCCGCGCGTCGCCTTCACTGTGCTGGGCCCCCCGGCAGGCCTCGAAAGTGGCGATAGTTTCACAGTTCGCAGCCCCCCAGGGATGGCGAGGTCTAATTTGAATCCGCGCGTCGCCCTCGCTGTGCTGGGCCCCCCAGCAGGCCTCGAAAATGGCGACAGTTTCGCAGATCGCAGCCCCCCAGGGATGGCGAGGTTTAATTTGAATCCGCGCGTCGCCCTCCCTGTGCTGGGCCCCCCAGCAGGCTTCGAAAGTGGCGACAGTTTCACAGATCGCAGCCCCCCAGGGATGGCGAGGTCTAATTTGAATCCGCGCGTCGCCCTCACTGTGCGTGGCCCCCCAGCAGGCCTCGAAAATGACGACAGTTTCACAGGTCGCAGCCCCCCCAGAGATGGCGAGGTCTAATTTGAATCCGCGCGTCGCCCTCACTGTGCTGGCCCCCCCAGCAGGCCTCGAAAATCGCGACAGTTTCAGATCGCAGCCCCCCAGGGACGGCGAGGTCTAATTTGAATCCGCGCGTCGCCCTCGCTGTGCTGTACCCCCCAGCAGGCCTCGAAAATGGCGACAGCTTCACAGGTCGTAGTTCCCCGCAGGCAAGACGGGAAGAGGCAGGGAGGGAGGGGGGAGGAGGAAGGAGTGGAGACCACGCTGCTCTATTTTAAACCCATGCCCAACCAAGGAGGGTTGCGAAATAGCCTGACGAAGGACCCAACCATATGCAGGTGTGAGCACCGCAATTGTGATTCCCTTTTTCGGTGGTGATCCCTATGAGGCAACGAACCTTGCTAGGGGTGTGCCGAAATGAGTGGCGTGGTACACGACGCGAGCGAAAACGATTGATCTGAGTACGTAGGGAGACTGCGAGCGGGTGAATCTGAGCGCGAGTGCGTCTGACTGTGAATGAATCTGCGTGCGAGCGAGTCTACGTGCATGAATGCGAGTGCGCCAATGCATGGTGCAACTGTATATGAATGCTGATAGTTTGTGAATGGCTGCCTCTGAGTACTCGTGACGCTGGGCGTGTGTTGACTGTACATGCTAATCTGTAGCCCCTTGGTCCAAGTAAAAACCATCGACATGGTAGCGGAGCGGCGTGGGTTCGTTCCCGCTGCCGCTTCCCTTCCAGCCAACCGCGGCGGGCGCGCGCGCCCGCGATAGGGCGGCGGCGGAGGCCGCGCCCTGGCGGCTGGCAGCGGCGAGGGCCGCGCCAGCCGGCCCTTCATAGCCCAGCACGCCGCCGAAGAAGAAGAAGAAGACTAAGCGTGGCTCGAGGTCGAACAAAGCAGACATCCTGAGGAGTAGGAAGTTCGACGAGAAGCTCGATCTGAAGTATGGAGGAGATCGAGAGACGCTTCCAGGCGCTCGAGGGAGCGTTGCAGGCTGCAGAACAACGGGTGCAGGCTGCAGAGGAGCGCGCCCTGGCGGCGGAGTCAGCAGCAGCGAGCGCAGGCGCCGCCGTGAACAGGCCCGTGGCAGCGGCGAGGGCCGCGCCTCAGGATCTGGTGGACACTCGGCTTCTGGCGAAGCCGAAGGCGTTCGGAGGCAGCGAGGACGAGTGGCCAGGGTGGAGCTTCAAGATGCTCGCGTACCTCGGGGCCCTCGACGAGCAGATGGCCAACGAGCTGACAGCAGCCATGACGTTCCCGCTGGAGGAGGTGAGGAACGCGAGACTCCTGGAGGAGGGAGCGAGTCAGCGCAGTCGCCAGCTGTACTTCATCCTCGTCCTGCTGCTGGAAGGAGCCGCGCTGCAGCTCATCAAGCCAGTCGGCGTCGGAGAAGGTTATCGGGCGTGGAGGACGTTGCAAGACATGTACGAGCCCGACCGACCAGGTCGCCATGCAGGACTGCTGCAAGAGCTGATCGCGTTCCAGTTCCCAGAGGACAACATCGTGGGGATGCTGGCGGACTTCGACTTCAAAGTCACGAAGTACGAGAGCCAGAGCCACGAGAGGATTGGGGACAGGATCAAGATGGCGATCCTCCAGAGGGGGATTCAGGACGAGGCTCTTCGAGCGCATCTGGTCCACAATGCGTCGAGGCTGGTCACGTGGGAGCTCATGCGCAACGAAGTGCACATGGTGATCTCGACGAGGAGCGCCATCGCAGCAGTGCCGCCACCAGTTCCGATGGACACGAGCGCGGTGGAGAAGGCGAGGCGCGAGGCGGCGTCGAAGGGCAAAGGAAAGAAGGGCAAGGACGGCAAGGGCAGGAAGGGCAAGGGCGGCGACAACTCCACGGACCAGAAGAGCCAGGCGGCCAAAGACAGGGCCGAGAGACGATGCTTCCACTGCCACAAGACAGGTCACGTCAAGAGCGAGTGCAGGAAGTTCCTCGCAGAGCAGAAGAAGAAGAAGGGCACCAACGCAGTCGAGCAGGAGTCGAAGCCGACGGGAGCTCCACCAGCGGCGAGCGCCGCGGGGAGCGCGGCGCCAGTGATGGCGATCGCAACCGAAAGCGGGGCAGAGCCATTGTGGTGCCTCGCGATCGAGCTGGGAGAGCTGGGAGAAGGGCAAGAATCATCATCGAGTGGAGCAGCAGCGACGCCCTCAGCCCCAGCAACGACAGCGACCCACCGTCGTTCGAGCGGGCCGTCAAGCGAGCACGAGCAGCCGAGGCGGCCATCCTTGGTCGGAGGCAGCCCGATCGAGCAGCTGAGCCAGCCAGAGGCGTCAAGCGAGCACGCGCAGCCGAGGCAGCCATTCTTGGTCGGGGCCAGTCCGATCGAGCAGCTGAGCCAGCCAGGGGCAGCAAACGAGCACGAGACGTTCGAGAGCAAGGAGATCGTCGGTATCAATGAGCACTGGGTCATGGTGGATTCGGGTGCTGCACGATCGGTGTGTCCGCCGAGTCACGGGGCCCACGAGACGCTCAGAGACCTGAGCGAGCGCATCAGGCTGGTCGGAGCGAGCGGCGACGACATCCCGTGCCACGGCGAGCGCTTCGTCACGTACACGAAGGGCGGGCACAAGATCGGGGTGGACTACAAGGTTGCCGACGTCAAGAGGCCAGTGCTGGGCGTGTCGCAGGCGGTCGACAAGGGTACGTCGTGGGTATTCACGCCGAGCGGGAGCTACATGATCCCGAAGCCGATCGAGTTCTCGGACCCAGACGCCGTGCCGCTGGTCAGGCGCAACGACCTGTTCTACCTCAAGATGGACAGGTACGGTGAAGGCGTCAAGAACTCGCTCGTCATGCCGGTGCGGGGCGAGGAGCCAGGAGGCGAGCCTGGCGGCGCATCAGCTGCGTCCAGGGCAGCGGCGAGGGCCGCGCTCCAGGGCGGCGGCGGCGGAGGGGCTGCCGCGACTCGCGCTCAGGCCGAGGCGAGCGAGCCAGCAGCGCAGGCAGAGCTCGAGGAGTCCGTGCCAGTCCGAGTCAAGAAGGATCCAGTGAAGCCAAGTTTGGCCGAGCAGAGGACGCACGAGCTGGTGCACATCCCTGCGAGGTCCTGGTGCTGGGTGTGCGTCAGATCCAAGTTCACGGACGACCCACACTACAAGGCTGGGCACGAGCGCACGGGCGACGAGGTCCAGATCGACTACTACTTCCTGGGCCAGCTGAGCATCCTCAACATGGTGCACATGAACTCCCAGGCTATTCATGGCATCATGGGGCCGAAGGGTACCGACGCCTACATGATCAAGACAGCGGTCGCCACCATCGAGAACTGGGGGCTGGGTCGCATCGTGCTGAAGCACGACCAGGAGGCGTCGATCACGGCCCTGGCGAGGGAGATCAAGGCTCAGAGGAAGGCGCCCACGATGATCGAGTCGGCTCAGCGGGCTAACCATCAGGGAGTTGGTGGAGTGGAGCGCGCCAACGAGGAGCTCGGCAAGCAGATCAGGGCGCTGCTGTTCTCGGTGGGCGACAACTACAAGCGGGAGCTCCCAGCCGAGCATGGGCTTCTACCTTGGCTCATTCGGCACGCTGGCTGGCAGCTCAACCGCTTCACGATGCACGGCAACGGCAAGACGACCTACGAGGTGCTCAAGGGGAGGCCGTATCGGGGCGAGCTCGTCAACTTCGCGGAGTGCGTTTGGGCGAGGGACCCCGCGCCGACCTCCAAGCTGCAGCCTCGGTGGCACGCGGCGGTGTGGCTGGGCAAGACAGAGGTCTCGGACGAGCACCTGGTGGCGGGTCCGACGCGCACGACAAGGGTACGCACGGTGAGACGGCGGCCGGAGGGTGAGCGGTTCGTGCTGGAGGAGCTGGACAAGTTCGCTGGGGTGCCGTGGGACATGCACCGAGCTCCACAGATCGGCATTGTGCCGACGGGGGCGCCCCAGGTGGAGCCGAACCAGCAGCGGCTGCTGCCGCCACCTCCGCCACCGCCAGTGGTCTTGCCAGCCGCGGGCCCGGAGGCGCTGGTGCCACCAGCGATGGTCGGGCCGGCGCCGCCCACGGGGCCAGGAGGCGCAGGGCTGAGGTCGACGTACATCACGAGAGCGCTGATCGACAAGTACGGCTGGACCCCCATGTGCCCGAGGTGCGTCACAGGCATGGGATCGCACAGCGAGGAGTGCCGGAAGAGGATCGAGAACGAGCTGCGCAAGGAGGAAATGGCCAGGGCAGCGGCGGAGGCCGCGCCCTCGTCGGCAGCGGCGGGGGCTGCGCCGACGCCGGCGGCGGCTGGAGCCGCGCCGGGGCCAGCGGCTGGAGCTGGAGACGGCAGGCCAGGATCGTCCGGGGATGCCAGCATGGCACCCCGCGATGACCAGGGCGAGGCTTCGGCGAAGAGGCCGCGCCAGACAGCGGCGATCACAGTCGGGTCGCTCGCGGTCGGGGCCTTCGTGGAGATCAACCCCTGCACGTACGAGGGCCTAGACCAGCAGTCTCACGAGGAGCTCGAGACGGTCACGGAGATCGAGAGCTGCGAGCCGCTGGAGATCGGGATGTTCGAGGTCAGCCCCGTCGAGCCAGCGGCGATCACGGTCCTGCCAGACGCGGAGAAGCACGTGTACGACGCGAGGAGCGGGAAGGAGCTCCCCAGGGACCTGGTCAGGCGCGGACGCGAGGCCGAGATCGAGGAGATGCGGCGACACGGCGTCTTCGAGGAGGTCCGCGTGGCCGAGAGTCGGGGCAAGGTGGTGCGTTTCAAGTGGGTCGAGGACCTGCGCACCAAGGACGGCGCCCCCTTCGTCCGTTCCCGAGGCGTCGCCATGGAGATCAACACGTACGGCCGAGAGGACTGCAACGCGGGCACGCCGCCGATCGCCATCGTCAGGGCGATCGTCTCCTTGGCGGCTACGAAGAAGGGTCGGAGGCATCTCTCGGTGCATGACGTGCACGTGGCGTTCTTCCACGCCGACCTCGACGAGTGGATCGTCGTCATCCCGCCTCCAGGACTCAGGAGAGACGGGTACGTGTGGCAGCTCCGGAAGGCCATGTACGGCACGCGCAAGGCGGCACAGGCTTGGCAGGAGTACGTGGCCGGGGTGTTCAAGAAGAACAACTGGACGCGCATCGCGGTGGCGGCGGGCGTGTACCACGAGCCTCTCTTGGACATGACCTCGGCGATCCACGGTGACGACATCCTGACCGAGGGCGAGGAGGAGTCCCTGGATGTCCTGGACCAGCAGCTGATGGCGAGCATGGACGTCAAGTGCATCGGTCGTGTCGGGCCGGATGGCGTCCGCGAGCTCCCGTGCCTCAAGCGCAAGATCAGGTGGACGGGCAAGGGATTCGTCTGGATCGGCGACACGAAGCACGTGACGAGATGCGTGGAGCTGCTGGGCCTTACGGAGTGCAAGCCAGCGGACACGCCTGGGAGCAAGGCCACGGGCAAGAGCGTCCGGGAGGCGCTGGACCCACTTCCACACGACGAGGCGAAGCTCTACCAGCAGGTCGCGGGGCTCGTCAACTACGTGGCGGTAGACAGGCCAGACATCCAGTTCGCAGTGAAGGTGATCCTCACGGACACGGGGAAGCCCACAGTCATCAGCATGCTTAGGCTGAGGCGGTGTGTGCGGTATCTCCACGGTCGGCGCGAGCTCGGGTGGTTCTACGAGAAGCAGGAGATGCCGAAGGAGTCTCTACGAGACGGACTCGGACTGGGCAGAGGATGAGATCACTAGGAAATCGACCAGCTCCGTGTATGGCTTCTTCGGCAGCCACCTCCTGGAGACCCAGGTGGCATCGCAGCCCGTCGTCGCGCTCAGCAGCGGAGAGGCCGAGTTCTATGCCATCGGCCGAGGCGCGGCGAGTGCGATCATGATGCGGCAGTTCTATCAGCAGTGTGGCATCGAGGTCGCGTCGAAGGTTCACAGCGACTCGAATGCAGGCAGGGCGATCGCGACACGGATTGGCAGTGGCAAGGTACGGCATCTACAGATACGGGACCTGTGGGTGCAGGAACGAGTCAGGCTCGGCGAGTTGCAGCTCGGGCGAGTCGACACGGAGAGCAACAGGAGCGACTTGGGGACCAAGCATCTGGACGGCAAGCGGGTGCTCAAGTTGCTGGAGATGTCCAACCTGCGGCTTCTGACCAAGGGGCTCGCCGCAGGTGTGGGCGTCACTTTCGCGGAGGCGGCCGAGCATGGAGACAAGCAGTGCTCTGCAGCCGCCGACGACGAGGTCGAGTCGAACATCGGCTCGATCGTTCTCGCCGTGATCATGTTCATCGTCGTGCTGGTGCTCATGGTCAAGGGCGCAGTTGTGTGCACGAGAGGGGCGGTGCAGCTCTTCTCATCGAGGGCGGCGAGTGCTGCCCCACCAGCGGGAGCGGCGAGGGCTGCCCCGCAGGCCGACGGCACGGCGAGGCCCGAGGCGGCGTCGAAGGACGCGCCTGAGGGGCATGTCGTTTCTCGGGCAGCGGCGATAGCTGCGCCTGAGCAGGTCGCCGAAGGGCGAGACCTCGGTACGGAGTACCTCGGGGAGATGCTGGCTGAGGCCACCGTGGCAGAGCTCAAGGAGGAGCTCAGGTGGCGGAAGCTGCCAGTGAGCGGCTTGAAGGCGGACCTCATCGTCCGTCTGACGAGGGACGGCGGCCAGCACATGGCCAGCAGTGAGGGGCTGGCTGCAGCGGCGTGGGCCGCGCGGCTGGTTCCAGGCAGAGTGCCCATCCGAGCGTTCCGCTCGGACGCTAGCCTAGGCGCGCACCTAGGCGCGCTTCTCAGCAGCACGGGGTAGGTCCGCGCCGAAAGAAGGACCCTTTGAGGGCCACCCAAGACGGGTGAGGGCGCGGCCAGAGGCCGCTCCTTTGAGCCGAGGGCGCGCGTCAGGCGCAGGCGCGCGGGAGCCACGGCGGGGACGCCCGCTTTGGCTTGAGCTTGAGCCTTCAGAAGGGAGGCTCGAGCCGCAGTACAGAGAAGATGCAAGGCGATGCGCTCGCCTGCATCTTGGAGGCGTGTTGACTGTACATGCTAATCTGTAGCCCCTTGGTCCAAGTAAAAACCATCGACAGCGTGGCCGCCGCAGGGAGCTTCCCCGGGGCTCCCCGACGGCATCGCCCGCGCGCCGCGGCGCCACCGCGAGGATCGCGCCCGCTTCCTCCCCTTCTTTTATTCCTTCTTTGCCCGCGCACTCAAAAGTCCAAAGCTGCGGGCGCAGCGCAGCGCGGAGTCCCAGCGACGCGCGCAGGTCGCCCGGGAGGGGTCCCAGCGACGCGCGCAGGTCGTCCGCTGCGCGCAGCAAAAAGAGCTAGCTGGCTGGCTGACAGCGGGCAAGGCTCTTGCCGCTGGGCAGAGCGACGACGGGCGAGCGAGGCGCGGAACTCCGACGGCCTCCGGCGGAGGTGTACTGGGTGGGGGGGCGCAAGCGGACTGCGCCACGGGGACCTTCGGTGGAGCTCCCTATGGGGCCGCGGAGCGTGTGAGGGATGTGCCGAAATGGGTGTGCGGGACGCATGTGGGCACACCCGCTGGGACCTTCGGTTGGGCTCCCTATGGGGCCGCGGAACGTGTGAGGGATGTGCCGAAATGGGTGTGCGGGACGCATGCGGGCACACCCGCTGGGGCCTTCGGTGGAGCTCCCCATGGGGCCGCGAAACGTGTGAAGGGTGTACCGAAATGGGTGTGCGGGACGCATGCGGGCACGCCCACTGGGACCTTCGGTGGAGCTCCCTATGGGGCCACGAAGCGTGCGAGGGGTGGGCCGAAATCGGTGTGCGGGACGCATGCGGGCACACCCACTGGGACCTTCGGTGGAGCGCCCTATGGGGCCACGAAGCGTGCGGGGTGTGTGCCGGAATGGGTGTGCGGGACGCATGCGGGCGCGCCCACTGGGACCTTCGGTGGAGCTCCCTATGGGGCCACGAAACCTGCGGGACACGGTGGAGTTCCCTATGGGGCCACGAAACGTATGAGGGGTGTGCCGAAATGTGTGTGCGGGACGCATGCGGGCACGCCCATTGGGACCTTCGGTGGAGCCCCCTTATGGGGCCACGAAACGTGTGAGGGGTGGGCCGAAATGGGTGTGCGGGACGCATGCGGGCACACCACCCACTGGGACCTTCGGTGGAGCTTCCTACGGGGCCACGAACGCGTGAGGGGTGTACCGAAATGGGTGTTCGGGACGCATGCGGGCACACCCACTGGGACCTTCGGTGGAGCTCCCTATGGGGCCACGAAGCGTGTGAGGGGTGTGCCGAGGGGTGGGCCGAAATTGGTGTGCGGGACGCGTGCGGGCACACCCACTGAGACCTTCGGTGGAGCTCACTATGGGGCCACGAAACGTGTGAGGGGTGTGCCGAAATGGGTGTGCGGGACGCATGCGGGCACACCCACTGGGACCTTCGGTGGAGTTCCCTATGGGGCCACGAAGCGTGTGAAGGGTGTGCCAAAATGGGTGTGCGGGACGCATGCGGGCACACCCACTGGGACCTTCGGTGGAGCTCCCTATGGGGCCACGAAACGTGTGAGGGGTGTGCCGAAATGGATGTGCGGGACGCATGCGGGCACACCCACTGGGACCTTCGGTGGAGCTCCCTATGGGGCCACGAAACGTCTGAGGGGTGTGCCGAAATGGGTGTGCGGACGCATGCGGGCACACCCATTGGGACCTTCGGTGGAGCTCCCTATGGGGCCACGAAACGTGTGAGGGGTGTGCCGATATGGGCGACCACGATGATGATGGTGGAGGAGGAGGAGGAGGAGGAGGAGGAGGAGGAGGAGGAGGAGGAGGAGGAGGAGGAGGAGGAGGAGGAGGAGGAGGAGGAGGAGGAGGAGGAGGAGGAGGAGGAGGAGGAGGAGGAGGAGGAAAGGAGGAGGAGGAAAAGAAGAGGAGAGGAGGAGACGCGGGCCACCGTCTCTTCAAAACGAGGACCCAACAACACAGGTTGGTTGGGAAATATGTCAAATATGTCCATGTACACATCTACGCGCACACGTGTGTATAGCATACCCGTCTGTCTATTTTCAGTCTTGCTTGAGAGGTCCTCGAGGGGCTCAGGATGGGGCCCCTGAGGAGCCCAAGGCGGTCCCACCGGCCCTGAAGGCGCCCCGAAAACGGGCTCAAAAGGGCTCCAGCATGGCCCTGGATGCCTCCATGTTGCGGGAAGGCCGACAGAGGACACAACAAGCATAGCGTTCTTTGCCTTCGCTTGGGCCCAAGAGGCCCCTAAGAGGCCCCCAAGAGACCCCACCAAGAGGTCCCGAAGAGTCGCCAGACAGGCCCCCGAGGCCCCCAAGAGGCCCCCAAAAGAGCTCCAAGAGGCCGCTCACGAAACCCACTGGTCCGTGTTGGTCTGTCGTGCCGGTCTGCAGTGCTGGTCTGATCTGCGGTGCTGGTCATGGCTTAGGCGAGGGCTGGAATCTTGCGGCGCGGGGCGGGGGGATGGTAAACGCCTCCCCGAACGGGAAGAAGGGGGTTGGAAGAAGTAACTCGCAAAATCACTCACGCCCTGAAGGGCTGGTGGGAGCTACCAGGGGAGAGAAGAATGCGAGTGTCACGGACGGTAGGTTCAAGAGTCCGACTGTCGTGTGCATCTCGGCTCCCTGCAAGCCTGCCTGGGCACGCCATTTGCGGCCTGGGTGCTGCACCGATGGCGCTTGTGCAGGCATCTTCTGGCCAAGACAGGAGGCCGTTGCACTTGCCAAGGTGGGACGCTGGGGTTTCAAGATTTGCTGGGTGGTGCGCTCGCTGGTTTGGCGCGCAAGCGCAGACGGGATGTGGTTTGCCTCTCCCTCTTTTTGTGCCTTTCTCGGAGCGTGCTGGACAACGTGTTGAAGACCGTGCTGAGGGAGGTCCAGAGGTTCTAGTGACGCATCATTGGCAGCACTGAGTAGGACGATGCGGGCGTCAGCAGTTCAAGCGAAGGGACAGGGAGATGTTTCATTCCACGATCTGAGGAAATAATTAGCGGTGAAGAACGTGCAGAGATATCTCAGATTTTTGTCTGAACATCTTCTTGTGAGAGGACATTGGGCACAGGAGAAGAAGCGAGCTAGAAGGGCAGGGCTGTGAACGATGGCTTCGACACGCACTTGCTGAAACGTGCTGGCCGCTTGACTGCTGTCGCAAATGCTGTGGTGGGCCGGGGGGAACCAGAGAAGTTCTTCGTTCAGACACTCGTTGCATGCCTTTCTTTGGACAGCAAGTTGCCATGTGCGCGACAGTGCTTCGAACCAGTGCGTGCGCATGACACGCACGGAGGGAGGAATCCGCGCGCGCACAATAGAAATTGTCTCTTCCCGTATGCGTCTCTCGCTGTCTGTGTGTGTGTGTCTCTCTCTCTCTCTCTCTCTCCCTTTTTCTTCTCTTTCTCTCTGTGTCTCCCTCTTTTACTGTCCATGTCGATTTCCCGTTTCAGTTGTTTCTCTGTGCGTCTCTTTCCCGCTCTCTCTCTCTCTCTCTCCCTTTCTCTCTCTCTCTCTCTCCCTGTCTCTTCCTGGCTTTCCGTATCCCTGTCTCAAATGTATATTTGTGTCTCTAGCTCTCTGTCTCTCCGTCTTATTGCCTTCTCCTTTTGTTTTTTGTCTTCCCCCCTGTCTCTTTGTCTTCTTGTCTTGCCGTTTCTCTGTCTGTCTGTCTGTTTGTCTGTCTGTCAGTCTTCTGTCTGTCTGTCTGTTTGTCCGTCTGTCAGTCTCTCTCTCTCTCTGTCTACCTGTCCCTCTGCCTCTCTGTCCCGGTCTCTCTGTCGCTCTCTTTGTCTCCCTCTCTCTTTGCTTGTTTGTTTGTCTGTGTGTCTGTCTCTGTCTCTGTCTCTTTCTCTTTCTTTTTCTCTTTTCCTTTCTCTCCCTCTCACTCTCTCTTTCTCTCTCTCATCGTTTTTTTTTCTCTCTCTCTCTCTCTCTTTCTCTTTCTCTTTCCATCTCTCTCTCTTTCTCTTTGTGTGTTTTTTTGTCGCCTTGTCTCTCCACTCCCCTGGTCTTAGTTGCCATCCTTGCAGTCGCTCTTTCTTTGTGTGCCTGCATCTATGCGTCTCAGTGTCGCAGCGCATTTGCAAGCGCGCTGGTCGCACCACACAGCCACATGCGTAGCTCGGACGGGGACGTGCCTTCGGTTTGCAAGGCAGCGGTGCGGTGCGGGCTTCCATGTCGTAGCTGGCGTCGCGCGGCGCAGGGAAAGCCTTTGCTGCCACTGCGTAGCAGGCTTCTATCGCACGTGCGTTGGTGCAGCGTCGTGGCTAAGAGCGCTGGGCTCGGTTGCCGTGGCCCCCGGTGGTTGACGGCGGCTCCTGCTGTCACTGTCAGCCTCTCTTTTGCGCTCCGGCCCTGGGGTTGGGGACAGCATTCTCGAGCTCCGACTGTCCTTGTCGCAGTGCTGAAGCCGCGTCTGACTGCAAGACTCGAAGGTTCCCGCCTGCCACAGCGCGCATCTTTCACGCGGGCCAGTTACCACGGCGTTTCTACAGCCTTGTCTTTTCAACTCTGGTTTGCCGTTCGCACGGCGGGTCAGGGGAAAAGGAGCCACAAGAGCCACCAGCAAGCTTTGGCGACTGCTTCTTGTGATCAGCGCGCGCCCCGCAGAGATTGAAGCAGTTGTCAGATACATGACATGGTCGTTCGGTGCGTTTGTCCTGGTCGAACTTGTGTTCCAAAGCGCTTCCTGCCCCAAATTGCCTTGAGGAGGTTAGGGCGCCAGCGCTGCCACGACGTCGAAGCCCACAGACTCCCAGGCAGCCCTGTCGCCAGTCTGTTGCACGAGTCCACATCCTTCACCACTCAGGGGAAGATCTGGAGTAAGAGCGC